TCACCGAGTCGGTGAGATGCCGCCCCGACGTCTCCCCGGCCCCACCGGCGCGGTGCTCGCCAGCTCACTGGTTCCTTTCTCCTTACAGAACCGCGGGGAGATTAAGAACGGGAGCATTTTACGGCTGACCACCTCCCCGGTACATCCCTCTGTCCCCCCGTCTCCTTCTCCGCCGTGTGCTCTGGTGGGATGTCTCCCCGTGGTGGGGCGATGCGGTGCTCCAAGCCTTCTGCCGCTGCCTCGCTCGGCGACTTCTGGCTCATGATGGCTCCCCTCAGTGCCTCAGACCCACCAGACCTGTCTCAACCTTCATTCTCCCTCGGCAGAGCTTGGGGGAGTTTGAAGAGAACCTAAGTCATCTTGAGATGCTTTGGACGCGTGGGCCAACTCGTCAAGCGTTCTTAGCATCGTGCCAGCTTGACCTCCTTCCTCAGCTCCTCCTGGTCTCTGCTCTGGCGGCTCTGTCTCTCGGTCCAGCTCCTCACCGGGGCTGCTCTAGCCTGAGCCTCCTTCCAAAACTTGCGCTTAAGCTCTTCCAGCCTTCTCCAAGCTTCTCGCTGTCTTTCGATGAGCCCCTTTGGCTTGATTCTTTCCTTCCTGGTAGGACCAAGAAGCAGAGAGGTTGTACAGCGGGATCCAGAGCAACAACTCGGATGTGAAGACTGACTCGCTGAAGAAGCTTGCGAGCCTCTCCCAAGACGTTACCTTTGCTCAGGAGTTCATCAACAGGAATGGCTTGAAACAAATCTTTTATATTGTGGAAGAAGGGAACGAGTGAGTATCAGGAGAGGACTTTCCTTGCAGTTCTTGACTTTTCTCCTCCCTTGCTAATGCTGTATGAGCTCCGAGCCGGCTGTTGGAGTGGACTCGGTTCATGTTCCTGGCTTGTTGATCCCCGTGCTGCGGCACGAAGGGCAGCGCTGGCGGCAGGGTGCTTGGCTCTGCAGGCTCCTTACCTGCAGGTACGTGGCTGTGTCCCCCCACGCTGGCAGCCGGGGGAAGGTCCCCAGGGGTCTGTGGTCCTGACGCCTCGTGAATGTGCCCAGACTTCAACCTCCCATCCCTTCGCTGGCTGGGTCCTCTGCAGCCCCGTGGGTTTTGCTGCCAGGAAACCTCCCGTGATGATGGTAGCCTCTGCTGCTGCTCATTCCTGCCACCCCGAATAATCCCTCTGCCATGAGGTTTTAGCTGTGAGAGCCTGCAGGCAGCTCGAGAAAACCCTGGTTGCCAAACTAGTGCCTGCCTGCCTCTTTCAGGATGTGATGGTGCATCTCCTCTGAGCTCCTGTCTCACAGAGGATGTGGAGCCCAAAACCAGGCAGCGCAGTGCGTGTTTCTTGGAAGCAGGGGGAGGGATTTGGGGTGGCTTGGCTTTCTCGACAGCTTGTCTGCAGTGATCTTTGTACCGTGGTAATGCAGCTTTCCAGAAACTGTTGAACTGCCCCTGCCTCGACTTCCTGGGATGACTAAGCGAGAGTCCGATTTCTTACCCAACAGTACCTCTTTCCTTTCTTCTCCTCCTCGCTGCTCTCTGCTTCTCTAGTTATTTCTAACGTACCCACCAACGTGCGAGCGTACTCCTGCCTTACACCGGTGACTGTGGGGTATCTGGACCCACCTCACTGCGTTTGCTCATCTGTTCCTCCAGTACAGGGGAGATGCTAGCTCATACCCTGAAGGCCTTCATGGAGCTGATGGAGCATGATTTTGTTTCCTGGGAGACTCTTAGTGCAGCCTTCATCAAGAAGGTAAGCGCCTTCTGCGGGTTCCACAGCCTGTGCCCTTGGGATTCCTTGTTGCCCTCGTCACCCAGGCTCGGCCTGCCGTCGACGGATGGTTTTGTGTCTTGCAGATAGTGAGTTACGTCAATATGAACGTGGTGGATGCATCTGTCCAGCAGCTCTCCTTGTCTATCTTGGAGAACATGGTACCCACCAGTCGCCTCCTCTTTGAGCTAGTCAGAAAAGAAGTGACGTTGGATCGTCTTCTCACCCACCTGCAGGTGTAAGTGGAGAGGCCGGAGCACCGTTCGCCCCCATCCCAAAGCCGGTGGGGATGAGGCGATGGAGGGGATTTCTCTGGGTGTTGCTGATTGTCCCTGGCACAACGTTGTATTGTCCCTTCCTAAACAACTTGTGGGCGGGCAGCCTGTCCCGTCCCCGCTGCTGGGGGAGGGATGGACTCTCCTGGAAACCATCCCGTTTCCAGGTCAGATTCCTTCCTTCATGGCCTGTTTCGTTCAGATATTTTAGTTCTTTAGCTGACCTGCCGTTTTTCTGGCGTTGGCTCTTCCTTCCCTTTCCCCGGTGTATTTAGGAGCAGCAGTATATTCCCTGCAACTTGGGGTGCTGGTGCTGTACTGAACAAACAGTTTGTTAAATCCACCAGCTAAGGAGGGTTCTTCCTTCCCACATCTGCCTCATACCTCTGCGTCTCTTCAGTTTGGAGGGGTTTCTTTCTAGAAAACGGAGAGGCTTGTGCCCAGGGCTCCTGCCAGACTGGAGTCTGTTGCTCACCCTGGGTTTTCCTGCGGCTCCAAAATGCTGTACCCACGGGTGCGTGCAGAGCAATATCTGATCCATCCGTGGGTGCTCCGCAGTCACAGCCGCGGGGACCATCTCACCCCCGGTCCCGCTGTCAGCAGCTGCTCGCTCATGGCCCTGGCCTCTCTGGGTGCCCCAGCTCCACGCACTGCGGTCCAGCAGTGAAAGGGGGAGAGGAGCCTGCATTGGGGAGGGCAAGACCGTCCTCAGGGCTGGTGACTCTCCTCATCATCCTCCTTTTGCAGGACAAACGCCCAGCTGCAGCTGAAGGCGATGGCCCTGCTCATTGCACTGCTGCTGGCTGCGACCGACGCTGAGCGGCGGGTAAGGGGGCTGCCCTCTGCCTGCGGGCAGTAGGCAGGACCGGGGGACGGCAGGGGGGCGGGCCTTGCAGATCCAAGCACCACAGTGCCCCTGTCACGGGGGTGCTCTGCCGAGAGGCCTCTGCTCTCCTTGGAGAGTTTTGGGGGGGATGCGAGATCTCAAATGACAGGAGAAGTGTCACGGCTGGTGGTGGCACAGTGACCGTGACGGCCCGGACCCCGTGCCTGGCACATCTTGTTTTTTTGGGCCCCCCCCCCCGTGATGGGGTCTTGGGCAGCTGGGTCCTCCGCTGCAGCGTTTGTGTTCTCTGGGATGGCGGGGCTGTGAGAAGTGCCCGGAGATGTTTAAAGTCAGTGTCCTCACTCTGCCTCGTCTCCTTGACTGACACAACCTGTCCTGGCAGCCTGGTAGGGCCGAATTCGTTTGAGCCCCATTGGGGTGGGCTAGTTCTGGCTGCCAGGGCAGTGGAAGCTGGGGGCAGGTCTCCTGCTCACCGGTGTCGCTCCTGAGGCTGCCGGTTCCTTTCTGTCCCCACCCTGCCTGTGGCCCAAAGCCAGGCATAGCAGGGAAGCTGGTCTGCAGAGGGAACACCGGCTTTTTTTGGGGAAATGGTGGTGTGCTGAGCTGGGGAACATCTCACAGCCTCTTCCCTTCCTAGGACATGATGGACTACCTGAGGGAGAAGAACATCAGGCAGTTTATCCACAAGGTGAGGAGCTGGGGTCGTGCAAGCATCTGCTCTGTGCTTCATCATCTGACCTCCCTCCCCAGCCCCTGTCCCCTCGGCCCCAGCCTTTGGTGACCGTGCCTGCTTGCGTGCCCCACACCCTTTCCTTGATGCCTCCTGTGGGTGCTGCCACGCTGGCACCCACATGCCCGGGGTTGCACCCCCGGCTGCCTGCGGTTCAGTGCACCCAGCTCTCGCCCAACCCCGCGGGGAGCTGCCCGCTTCCTAACACCCCTTCGGGCAGCAGGACCTGCCGGGCTTTGGCTGTTGGGCCCCTGGGCTTGGGGGAACCGGGAGCAGCAGCCCAGGGGAACCTTCTCACTCGCAGTCTCCTACAGAACATCATCCACAGCTCTGAGCCGCTGGGGGATGAGATGGCCCATTACCTGTATGTGCTGCAGTCCGTCAGCCTCAACCTGTGCGAGCGACGCATGAGGACCTCCATGGATCCCTACTCACAGGTCTGGGAGCCGCGCTCTTTGCGAGTCTGGCCCTGCTCTCTTTCTCTTCCACCTGTGGAATTAGGGTGAAGGTTCACCTTTGGGTAAACCCAGCGCATTTGAGTTCATCGTCGGTTTGCCCTGGGAGAACCTGCTTGCGTGGGGCTCACCGGCATCCCCTTCTCCCCGCTCTCCCTCCAGGAACAGCGGGAGCTCCTCCAGTCGCTGCGCCAAACCGCCTTCGAGTCGGAGAGCGAGGCGGCTGCCAGCAACTTCAGCACCGAGCGCCGGCGATCCCTGTGTGCCAAGGAGTTCCGCAAGCTGGGCTTCACGGTGCGTGCCCCCCGCATCCCCACGCCGGCTCTGCCGCCCAGACTCGGCGGCGCCTTCTGATGGCCCCCCTGAGCCTGGCGTCCCTGTTGATCCTGGTGGGCCACCAGGCGGTACCTCCCTTCTTGTCCCTTGGCACCGCTAAACAGCGAGTGCTGTGGAGCTGCCAGGGCTCAAAAGGCAAACCCCGTGCCTGCGTCAGGAGGACTCTGCTGCTCGGAGAAGAGGGCAGCGGTTGCTAAATTGCACCCTTTTGTGTCCTCCTAGAACAACAGCAACCCAGCGGAGGACCTCCGCCGTGCCCCGCCGGGACTCCTTGCCCTCGACAACATGGTGTATTTCTCCAGGCACACCCCCAACGCCTACAGCAGGGTGCGTGCTCTCTCCCGGAGAACTCCCTGGCGGAGAGGTGCTGGTGGATCTCCCACCTTCTTTTCCTTTCCTCCTGACCCGTCCTTGGCCAAACCCAGGCGAGGATGTCCTTTTCGGGCAGGTGTCCTACTGTTGTCCCGTTTCAGATGGAGCCGAGTCCTCCCTGTGGGCGGGAGCAGCCTTCTGAGGCCGGTGGCACTGAAGGGTCCCCATAATTTTTTGTAGCGTTTTGCCCACAGCTTGGCTTCCAGGCCTTGTTCACGTCTGAGCGAACCGGGGCGATTTGGGCGAAACCGGCCAGCGGCTGCAGAGCGTTAACCCCGCTCCGACCTGCTGTGCCTGTGATCAGCTCCAGCACTGCCGCAGGGGAAGGAGGGGGCTGGGGCTGGTTTTGGGGGAGAGCTAACTACTTCTGTTAGGGATGGCTTAGCCTGGGGGGGACGGCTCGACTAGGAAGCTCAGAAGAAGCATGGGGTGTCTGAGGTGGGGCAGCCCTCCGAGTCCGCGGCCCGCGTAACGCGAGGCAACGACCCTCTCCTCCAGTTTGTCCTCGAGAACAGCAGCCGGGAAGACAAACACGAATGCCCCTTCGCTCGAAGCAGCATCCAGCTCACCCTGATCCTCTGCGAGATCCTGCACGTTGGAGAGCCGTGTACGTGTGCGCCCCAGCTTGCCCTTCTCCCTGCCCTGCTGCCTGCCGGCTGGCAGGAGTGGGGACGAGC